TTTTTTAGGCTGAACCACAATGCTGTTATATCTAAGGAGTGTGAATAATGTATTTCTTCACACATGAAAGCTTCACAGGGATGAGCTTGGTTAAATGAAGATAGGAGCAAACATCTTAATTTTCAGCCAACAGTAGCTTCTCTTGTACAGCATTCTGTTGTTTGCTGCATACCAAACTACATTCTCAAACTACAAAGGAAATTTCAACATCATTATATGTTTTCTACTCTGTATTTTCTGGACATCAACATGAAAGTTTCAAGGGTTTCCATTGCTCCAGTACAGAAGCAGCATATATCCCAATTTAAGAGAGTGAAAATGTTTGCCTTAATTTTAACTAACAAGTCAGAAGTAAATACCAACTTTCAAGCAAAATATGCTGGACCCATTAGACATTTGAAAAAAATAAAATTACTCAAATTAATTGATTAAATGAATCAGTGTAAGACATACCTTGAGGTCTAATCTCAGATTTTCAGTGGAAAGAAATAATCGCTTCTTTTTTAACAATTGCAAGGAATAAAATATATCAATTCCTAAACCAGTAAAACCTGATGTCTCTTTAGTCTCTTCTAGCTCTGATGCTATGTGTTTGGTTTCCTCCTTGTAGAGTCAAATTTCTATTTCAGTTACATTCCCTGTTTTTATGTTGTGTTTTGCCCTGAAAAAGTGGTAGTGAGCAATACCACCTAAAGCCCTTTGCATACTAAGGAGTTCTGCTATTTCAGGTGCTAAAGCCTCTCTCCCTCATATGAACGCTCTCATCTTTAGACTGGAGAGCTGTATTCTTTCTCTTCCTAATGAAATAAATGCTGGAGGCAGAACTTCAACTAGAGGAGGAAAGTGTGTTGTAGCGTCTTAAAACTGTCCCAAACACCTCACAGACAGGTCATCAGGCTTGCCTTCTGCATGTGGCAGAAACAGGGTTAAAGTTCTAAACTGAAGCACAGTAAACTGTTGGAATCTCAGTACTACTGTTTAAAGCAGGGTTGAAGAGCAGCTTCTCTACCAGCTGTGTTTGAAAATAAGTAGTCCTTTTCCTGCTTTAGTGACACTTTTGAAAGGCATCTTTTGCAAGGACCCCATACTCATAGAGAGATCGCCATTAATGTATTCATTTGACACAGGTATCATTCTACCTGTAGTGCTGGACCCTAAGAGGGACCTTTGTGCTTCACAATCTCGTGCTGAGAGGCTCTTCAATGGTGGCTGCCACCAACTTCATTTTTAGAGGTTCCCAAATCCCCTTTTAGGAAGCATAACTCCAAGCATCTGATTCTGCCCTGTGAGCCAGGCATCAAAAAATGAAGCACTGCAACACCTAAGTCACTTTAGAAATTCAAATCTTCAGAGCCTCTGACTTTCATGCATAGAGGCTAATGTTGCAGATCACATGTAAGTTGTTTTTTTCAGTAATTCCATTAGAAAATCTGCAGTGCCATAGTTGGAAATCTTATGGCTTTTTCAAATAGTGCTAGAAACACAAAGAGGACCTCTCGCTTTGTGTTATGAATTACCATTATTTTACTTGGTGAACAGTGGAAAATTATTTGCACAGTAAAGAACATATTATGAAATATAAACACTATTTGATTATTGTGATTATTTCACTTCCTTACAGTGAAGAGTAGATGGTAATTAATTTCTGGACCTACAGCAACCATAGGTATATGCTGGTAAAATAGTTAGATGTTACTGTATTTACTACCTGACACTTTATTCATAATTAAATGCTATAAGTAGAACAGAAAAAAACATTTCAAAAGAACTTCTAAAAAGTCATCAATTAAACATGTGGCCAAAAAAAGTTATGAACTTTAGCATTTCTTCAGTGCTATTAATTGTATACTCTGTGTTATACTTATTTGAACTAACTGCAGTAACTGCTAGGGAATCAAAAACCTTCTTTACGTGATTTACCGCCTGTGCATTTATGCAGCATTTAATACCACATTTTAATTTAATATTACCCTAATTTTCTATTGATTAAGATCTTGGAACACAAGCCTAATTCCTTAGTCTCTACTGCTTTGAAGAATTTGTGTTCCTTCCAACATGCACTGCTTGTGAATTAGCTCATTGTACGAAACATCTGATCTTCCGGAATAAGGTTTCTGGGAGGGGATGGGTGGAAAAGTTGCAAATTAGCCTTTATTTTTATTCTCATAGTCAAACTCAAATTATATCTGTATATTGAAATATCTCTGATCTCTTTGGAACACTTTTTTTTGTGCTCTGGCTATGCAAGACCAGGGTTTCTGCAATACATCAGTCAATCACTTGATTCTGTTTCAGAAAAGGGAAGGGCAAAACCAAGAACTTACAGAGTCATTGCTGATGTGGAGGGGAACAGGTAAAGTTACAAATAGTTTCTGTACTTGTCACCAACTTTTCTCACCAGTTGTCAGAGAAGTCTGTAGAAAGATGAGCAGCATGAATTTCCCCTTCCTTGTGAGGAAACAAGCTCTGAGGGATTCCTACAGGTTCTGAGGTGGCCGTTTGCAGCAAATTCACAAACAGCTGTTAAGGGCATCAAACTGAGCAAAACATTTGATCAATGAGAAAGAATACAAAATGGCACCTATTGGATGTGCTTTCTGCATGGATCTTGTACTTATCTGCTTGCCCTTTGCACTTGAGATAGTTTTTGTCTCTGAAATGCTGTAAGAGGCAGAAGTATGACTCAGACACCATGCTAATTAAATTCCAATTGTAGAATCACCATCGTTTTCTTGGTAGAAAAGCAGGGAAAACAGCCATTGCTTTACTTTCAGGTTTCAGCCTAAATTGGTTTAAACTGAGCAAAGGCGCTATGAGGTATCTGTGATTCAGCAGGGATCTGAATGTTCCTGAGAAAAAATTGACATACCCCTACAAATGTTGTTACTATGAAACACAAGCTGATTTTATGTCTCCTGAGCTGCTATTACTAGTAGTCTTTGTAACGTTATTTCAATGTAAGCAGATAGGAAAAGAGTCTTGCTCATATATTAGTAACATTCAGGATGTAAGAATGCTCGGAGACTAGCAACTGGCAAATTCTGGAGTGGGGGACCGAACAAATCCTGCAATCTTAAAAAAAAAATAAAATCACATCTCTTCTTTGCAAGTTGTGCCCCCATTTATCAGCTCACTGTCAACCTCTATTGTGTAATTACATTACTTGTAGCAGCTATTTTTCAAAACTCTGCAGTTCTTTTAGAGAAACACATTGTTTTAACTTAGTAGCTATTCTCCTTCACTGCACTGCTGTGATGCTTTTATCATAATACTCGTCATATGCTGGCAACCACAATCTTCTGCTACCAAGAATGGCCCCATTGAAAGGCTAAGATGAATCTTCAGATGGCTCCTTAAATTTATTCCTTTCCTATCTTGCTGTTGCTAGTAAAGCCATAAGCTTGTGTTTTGTTGTTCTTTTTTTTTTTCTGATGCCTCCTTTCTCAATCCTATTGGAAATGATGAAGACCAGGGTAGGTACCTTTGCAGGGTGACAGCTTTTTAACACCGAATAATCGATTGATGTGCATGCTAATAGGTAATGCTAGGTTTGATTAACTAATTTTGCAAATGAATATCTAAGTAAATTACTTTTGTGGACTGTTTCCAATGATTCTTTCTCTTTAATCGCCTCTTTGAATAGCTTCATACTGATTGTTGCTGCTGCTGCTGCTAAGGATTCATATAAAACCCTTGGGTATATATTTCTTAGTAAATATATCTGGTATCACCACACACAAGAAAATCCTTCTCCTCAGACACATCTTACTTAAAGGTACATAGTCATAGTTTCAAGCTCACTTTTTTCCCAGAATTTTCAAAGCCTTATAGGAATGCAATTTCCCTTCACGCTCAATTCATGACTGGTTTTAAAAGTCACTCAGATACAGGGTATGCCTCTGAAGGATTTTTAAAGATTACAAAGACAGACAGAGATATTTTAATTGCAAACAAACACCTGATTAGCCCAAGATGTCTTTAAAAAATCCTGCATGCTTATATGACTATAGAGATCTGATCCTTTTGCAGAGCTAATACAAGACTGGGACTAACAATGAGAGACTTTTTTTTTATCTTTCTTTTCTTATTTGAAAGTAAAATATTCTTCTTTAAACTAAAGTATCATGCAATGTAAAAATGGATACAGTGCACATACTTTCACACCCACATTCCACATAATCAGAAAATTCATTATTCTTTCTCAAGAAGTTGTGGTCTTAACCTATACTTTGCACTTATCTCATTGTCCATAGATCACTACATACCTAAATATTTGTATTTTTAGTAATTTAACATTTCTTAGATGCTTGCCTTTAAAAGATAAACTTCATACACTATCCATGGCCCATGTTGTCTTGCCTCAGCTGAATAAACCTGTGTCTGGACAGTCTTATATATTAGTTGTCAAACCACTGCGGTGCTGCTAACGCTCAAGGCATCACCTATCATATTATCTGCTCTCTGAAACCTTACATGAGCTTCCCCATGTATTCCTGAATCACATTAATTTCCAAGTCTTCATCCTTAAATACTGCATAACATTTCCTTCATACACATTGTTACATCTCCTTCCTTCCTTCTCAGTCCTTCTGCCTCTAACCTCTCTCACTTCTTTAATAACTTAGCACCTTCTCTTCTCTTGCCCTGACATAGGTTTCATGTTTGTCCGCTAATGTGCTGTCACTCATCTTTCTCTCTTTAAACCCCTCCTTAAAACCCATCTTCTGACCTTCTAGTGTAGAATTATCTGACAATAATTTATCAGGAGTGAGCAGAGGCTACGTGGGTGTCCCCTCCACCCACTCGTACATGCAAAGTCAAATAATTCATTCTGAAGCCCCACAGACATTTTTAAATGACAGCCAGCAACCTCTGCTTCCTCTCGTACCATTCTGCAAAACAGGGCACTGCAGACAGGGGCAGGCAGGAGAGGAAGAGTATGCCAGCTGTATTGCCTCTCAGTAGGAGAAATGTAAGATACACATTTCAGTTCCACTTACCGGTTCCTATTGCTAGAAATCCAATCCGAGATTAATGTTGCAGCCTGCTGGTGACAGTGTTTGTTACCAAAGCTGCAGGCCAACATGATGACTTCCCGACGCAACTCTCTGTCCAAATTAAAGAAAGCAATAAAGTTGCATTAACGAATGTGTTTGAATGTTTATAAAAAGCTATTTCTTATAACAGTGACAGCAACCAGCAGTCGGGCAACATATCAATGACAATCTGCTTTACAAATCTCAGTTTCAACTTTATGCCTTCAGCTGCTGCAACAATTAAAGAAAGGTTGTGGACCAAAACCAGCCTCCATTTACACTTAGACACTTTTCCTAACCTCCATGGGCACTTCAGTTCAAGTTCTCAAATATCCAGTGCAGTCAGATATTAAGTTAGGGCTTAGGAAACCGTGTTCTCCCAACTTAGGAAAGAAGAATTCATCTCACAGCATCTTTCTGCTCTCCTTCTAACCCAGAAAGGAAAAACAGAGGGGCAACAGAGCTAGGGGCTTATGACAGGCTGAAGATGACACTAAACTTTAGGAGACTGCATTATTTCAACTATATTCCACAAATAAACAATAAAAAAAAAGAAATATAACAGTACTCATGTTGGTAGGATGCTTGAACAAGTGATTTGTTTAAATTGTTCACTGGCCATCCAAGCTTCAGATACATTGATGCAACTTGTCTTAAAATATACTCCTGAGGGGAAAAAGAAAAATATATTTAATGTTAACCATCATGGGTTTTTTTACTTGAAACTGAAATACTACTGACTATTGAGGTTTAACCCTTTCACCCTCAAAAAATAATGTCCAACTCCAAAGATGTTGATTTGCATTTAGCAAAGCAACTTGTCCACTTATAATCCCCCTTCACCACCAGAGTAAGAATCAATCTGTAGAACAGCTATTTGATTAGATGCCTAGTATAAGACAATTTATTGCTAAAAAATCCATCACTTTCAAAAGTTTATTACATGCTATTTTGCAGTCACAATACACAGCTGAAAAATTGCAAGAGTGTCAATAGCTTAATTTTTACTCTATGGCCAATCTGGACTACATCTTGAATGTTCACTTTTAAAAGAACATTGTTTTAATAGCCATAGCCATAGCAAAAACATTATCTGGGTACAGTCAATTGCCTTTGGAATACATAACAATGTGGCTGCAAATAAGCTTTGTACACTTAATGATACTATGCTATAAGTTTAGGTTCCCAGTGTGCTTAAAGAACAAAATAAGCCCAAGATCTATTTTAGTGAATTCTACTTTTTACGCAAGAGACATACTTACATATTCTGACCAGTTTTAAAGAAAACCACTGTCATTGTATTCAGCGTAATCTTTTGCCAGTGGAATTCAACAATTTGAAAAAGAGAACTGAGATATACAGAACTGCATATGAGAGCATCTATTTTATCATTGCAGATGCATAGGCATGTATCTTATGTACAACACATAAGAAAATTCATAGTGCAGCTTTTTCTAGCAGATACGTTATTCTGTGACTAAAAAGACTTTTTATTTCTTCTGCTATCACCTCTGCTTTCAAAACTCCTATCCGTAGTGATAAAACATAACCTAGCTGTGAATTTTACTGGTTTTATTTATTAAAATTGTATTTTCTTTACACAACCAAGTTTAAAAGTGAAACAGGTTCCTAAGAATTTTTCTGTGCAGTTAACAACAGACTAAATACGCATATCATTTCAACATCATTTTACATTATGCCTCTGGTTTGCATGTAGACCTACACTGTAGGTTCATAAAAATTTCCATGTGTCCTTATTAATCTGTAGTATATGTTCTACAAAAATGATTTTCCATGTCATCAGGTGTATATTTGTATATGTGTGTGTGTGTGTGTGTACTTGATGATCCTTGTGGGTCCCTTCCAACTCAACATATTCTGTGATTCTCTGATATATATGTATGTACTTCTACATACATATATAAATCCAGCTACTTCTAACTTCCTGCTCTCTGAGCATGGTGTGTACGGTCACACACACACACAAACAAATATATATTTAACAAGAAGCATCCTTAAGCATTTCAGGCTTTAAAAAGTTCCTCCATTTGAAGTCTTTACAACATTACATAAAGTTACCGTATGTTGACCATTGAAAATATGTAGACTACATAAACTTCACAGTGAATAAAAATCCCAAGACTTCATAATAGTTACTGGCTGCAGTCAAATCTCATGTACTTCATAAACAATGCTTCAGTGTAGCTATGATTTTTTTTACTATTTCAGATAACGTTAAAATATTTGTCATGTCTATCTTAATTATCTACTGTGAACTGTTACTGATGTCCCTTCGGATGCAATTATGAATGGGCTTTGACTCAATGGTGATTTAATTCTTGTTAATTAAGGGAACTGCATTCAATTCACTATGGATTTTTGGATGAAATAATGCCTACAAATCTTTGCTTCAGTTGCATGTGTTCTATTCTGTTGTGCCTGCATTTGGTGTTGCTGAGCCTGTGCATCAACCTAAATATCACCGTGGGGCTCCTCAAAAGAGAAAATCTGGAAATAGAATACTTTGGCTTTTTTAAGTGCAATACTTTGTCATAACATTTTACAGGAGGGATAATTACCTTTCCCTCTACTAATCATACGTGCCTCAAACAACAGTCATCACTGTTCAAATGCAAATGCACCAAAGCTTGATAATTGCTATGTTTAAATAAAGAATAATTAGGAAGAAAGTTAATATCCCTAGGTCATTTACAGTATCTGAATGGGGAACAGTTCAAGTCTTGGCAATAAAAGGAGAGAGTAAGAGGAGAAAGGAAGAAAAGCAAAAAAAGGAAGAAAGAACAGACTGACAAAGAGAGGGAGGGAAAGAAAGAAAGGAATAACTAGAGGAAGAAAGAGAGGAAGACTGTATATCTTACATTGAAGATGTTGTAGTTTTCTGTGCGGTCCAGCAATTTATCTAGAGGATAAAGAGCTCGGCTGGCAGCATGCCAAGGCAGAAAATCTTTTTCCTCTGAAAGGTATCTGATAATCTCCAAAGGAATATTCTGAGGCAAATAACCAGCTCTGCACAATAAAAGAAGTTAGTATTAAATTGGTTTTCAGAAGATACACAATGAGGCAAAAATTATTTATTTTTTTCCCAAATGAAATTAAAATGCATAAAAACATGATAAACTCATCACACTTCAATGATACAAAAGTCAACCTTATAAAAATCAGCAACTTGCAGTCTCTCCCAACACATGCAAGCATATTGAATTGATGAAGCAAGGCATGAACACACATGAAAGAAAACTAGACAAGCTATCCCTACTTTGTAGGGATACTTGTGGCTATAAGACATGTAAAAAAAAGTAACTAACTTCAAGGAAAAAAAACAAAACAACAAATCAAAACAAACAGAAGGTGTTGCTTTTCTGATTTGTAAGACAGAAAGTTGCCTGCATAAAATCAACAATCCAAGGCACTTTGCTTCAGAGAACATTTTTACTGGCTGTGGACAATTGGAAAGAACTAGTGGTGAAGAAGTAGCTTTAGTTTTAGTTATTCTCCTGACTCATTTCTTTCTCCTTTAGAGCTGCCGTGTCTTCTACCACCTTCAGTCACTTTGGAATGATTTATCCAGTGGCACCACTGTGGTTAAGGATGTTTCAGCACTTTCCACAATTTGTGGAAAAAACTATGTTTTTTCCAGATGTTTATAAACCAACTAGCTAGAATTCTGCCCCATTATTTTACAGTCACAAAAGACCTCTCCCTGAAGGGGAAAGAGTTTAGGAGAGAGTCAGAAAGGTTTAATTAATAGCATTGCAAGTAAAATGCAGTACAGACACAAGCATTTGAAAGCTACTTTTAAAACCCAAGTACAGAAAACATCAAGCTTTAGGTTTTGCTCTCATTTTCTTTTTCAGAACGGCATTTTTTAACTATCCAGATTGCAAAACCAAAGTACAACCCTGTAGGTGTGAACCTTCCAGAAACACATGGTCTACTCTTCGCCTAATGCATGTGTTTAAATCCAAAAGGAGTCATCTATCTGCCTAGGGAGGAGATAATGATTCTGTTTTCATTAAACACTTAAAATCAGCAAGGTGGATTCCAGAAACTTCAATATAACATAGGCTAAACTATTATATAGCTTCATAGACTAGTTTTTCTCCTTGGTTGTAAATATTCCTTTAATTTCCATCAATGTCTGGGGAAGAAATGCATGCTTACAGCAAACAAATAAGGCTAGACACATTATTTCAGAAAATGACCCATACATACGAGTTGATATAAATTATCTCAGTTGTAATTGTATATAAAAACTACCTTGCTGAAATACTTGAAATAGATTGTTTTCTTGCAACATGCACTGCATCTTGCAGGCCTTTCTTTTTCACACTCTCTATTGGAACAATTACACTTTGTTCCCTTCATGTTCTCAGCAAAGGAGTTCATGTGACAGTTTTCAAAAGTATCTATCCCATGTCATTATGATGACCCACCCTCCAGTCTGTTTCATGTCATCTTTGTCCACATTTTGTCAGCTCTGTTTTCAACTCCTGTTACAGCACATACTCAAGCAAGAAAAACAAGATCACCTGGGGAGGTCACTGTGTCAACTGAGGAACTGAGTAGATATGAAATGACAGTGGTGGAGCTTTTAGAGTAGGTAGTGGACAAAGTTCATTACATCTGAAGACAGGTTACTCCATTTTATAGGTCTCTCTTATTTCTGAAGCAACAGAATATCAGTAAGATGAGTTCTAGGTCATAATACTTTGTAGAGATTTGTAAACATAATTAATGGAGACAGAAGCACGCTGGACTGACTGCAGTTAAAAATCTTGGAGATAATGTTAGCAAAGAGGTAAACTAGCTTGAAGTTGGTATATATATAATCAGTTCCTAATGGGATTTGTGATTATTTTTACTGATAATTTGATTGACATGAAAAAGTGTAGAGTAAGAAACAAGAGGAATAGCTCTAGGAAACATGTTGCTTAAGGAATAAACAGATTAATGCTTATTATAGCTGCACTAATGGACATTTACATTCATGTTCTGAAATTAAATCTATCAATACTAACCGCAAAAGGAAAATCACCACTGAAAAACAGATTATTTCTTTTTAAGCTTATAATAATGGCCAGTCTTCATGAGCGAAGATTTGGGAAAGGTCATTAACCCTTCGAGCCTGTGCAGTGGATTTTTTTTTTAGGTGAGACACAGCGTGCGCTGAACTGAGCCCACCCTTTAATCCTGAGGTTCATCTGCCGGGGCCGAGCAAGCTTGGACAGTGGCAGCAAGGTCCCCAGGACATAGGTTTGTTTAGAGTGACCTTCTCTTAGATGGATTGCCTTACAGGGCTAACGAGCTCCATCTGCCCGGGGGGGCTGGGAATCGAACCCGGGTCACAGCGGTGAGAGTCCTGCACCCTAACCACTAGACCACCAGAGGCCCCTTTTTAAGCTTAACTTCTCCATAAAGGCACATAAGAAGTGAACTCAGAGAAATTGATCTCTTATCCTGAGTTCTTCAGAGGTTCCTAATGAGTTTCAAAATCGTGATTCTTGGCTGATGGTACTCATCCTGTTCATAACAGAAGCTGTTACTCTCATCACTCACTGCTTCTAACTTCCAAATTTATCAGCCCATTCAATTCTGCCTGTCTCACCCCCTGACCCCCCACTTTTCCTATTGTTTCCCCCTAAGAGTAGAATGCAACTTACAAAAACAGATCAGGGCAAAGTCTGAGGTTTTTTCTGTTTACTCCTGACCCTCCTTCTCTTTATGGGAATGACCCTTGAAGAGCTTACGCACAGTATCATGAAAATCACACCGCTACACACACATCAACAAACCAGTCCCAAGAGAATGGATGGGGACGAGGGGAGGGTTTTGGGGATGACATTATTACATAAATGACAACAAATTCGTCACTTCAGACCATGATTTTGAGGAAAAGTGGTTATGGCTGCTACAGTCAATGTTAAACTCTCTGTCAGCACAAGCTGGGCAGTACAGATGCTAGGCTGGACCTCTGAGGGAACTTGAGCAGAGGCAAATCTAAAATCTTCTTACAGTGGCAGTTAAGACAGGAGCACTGGAGAAAACAAAAGTGCTTCAGGAACTTTACTTTGGCGTAATGTCCTTTATTGTACAGATGCCTACAGAAAACCAAGACAGCCCTATTCTTTTACCCTCAGCCACTAAGCCACGTTTATGAACTTCTTATTCCAAATATACTGCGCTACCAGACTATTTGGCATTAAATAGCTTCTGTCAAGAGGTAATAATAAGTACATTCATTGTTTCACCTTTTTGTGTAAAAAGTGGCATATGCTATAAATTATTAACTGTATACTATAGTTTTAAAAGCTTGAGGAGTATTTTCTTCCCCCCCCCCCCAAAAAAAAAAAAATCACACCAAAACCAAGGAAAGAGTTTAGTAAGTGTATAAGGGTAAGGCCAACTACTAATTTTTGGCATTCGTAGTTGAGAAAATAGAATATAAGGAGAAATTCTCACACTAGAGCATAAAAGAGATAAATAATGAATGATAAAACACATTAAAAGTTTTAGGACTTGTGTGAAGTGTGCCGAGAAGTAACATGACTACCATGGCAAGCAGGTCAGCAGAAGACAGAATCTAAACCAATCACAGTGACTGTTTGGTGAGCTATGCTCTAGTATTCTGCACCTTCACAAAGCACAACAGCTGGTTTCTTAAGCTGTGTATTTTAGTATAATCATATTCTTTTACTTTACACTGAAAGCTTGTCCAGTGCTAAGAGTGACATCAAGACTCCTCTTTCCCAGGGAATACTGCATTCAGCAAGATGCACTGGCTCACTTCAACAACAGCAAACCAGCCATTGCTAGGATCCTCCTCACTAGCCTGGAAGAACTAGGTTCAAGGATGGTTACACAGGATCTGGTCAGCAAAAACATTTATGAAGCAGGATAATAACCAAAATGAGGGAAGAAGGCAGAACAGAGGATGAATCTGTTCTGAGTATATCTGTAAACTTTGTTGGAAAAACACAGACCTGTAGAAATGTTAAACAGAAATGTTTAACACTTATAATAAGAAAAGCTATATATAAAAGTTATAATAAGAACCTTCCCATCAAAGGTAAAAATGTAAAATAATTTCCCTGTCATATAATTGCCTGGAAATATTCACTCAAAGGTACTACAGAGTATAAGATAAGCTTAGTACATACTATACACAAGCATCTTGATTTATTACTCTCTCTTCCAACAAAGTCACTGGAAGGTCAGTGACAGAAATCCTTATTTTTCTTGTATCTTTTTAGCCATCAATCATATTGCCATCCTTAAGTCCAGCAAAATTACTATCAGATATTGCCTGTCAAAGACCAAATGCATGAGAGTTAGGGTTAAGAGACAAGGTTCTTTTCTAGCTTAGCCATCTTGGAGAAAAATTGAAATATTGTCTGTCACTTGGAGAATAGCTGATTATGGGCTATACTGGAACCAGGAAACAAACAAACACCACAGAAATACCATGATGTCCAATCTTATGTCTGGTCTAAAACAGTCACACTGTTTTTCTAGGTATGTCTCCAGTAGCCACCCGAGTATCTTAGCAAGCACGTACCTACAACCAAAAAAATTCTGCAGGGGAATCTGGTATAGTTTTGGCAAGTATCTTAACAGATAAAAAAGTCAAATAAAACAGTATTGATGCATAAACAGTGGTTGAATGCATACTGATGTTCAGGTAAAACATTTCTCAAGGGCAAGGTTAAAGAGTTTACAAAACTTCACTTATAGTGTCTGAAATTAAAAGAACCTTAAGAGCTCATCTAGTCTCTCCCTACCCAAAATAGACTCATACCAGTGCCATTCCTGACAGAAATTGGTCTAGTTTTGTTTATATAGGTCTCTAGTGATGGATATCCTAGGAACACTACAATTTCAGTACTCCTCTGCCAAGAGGCATGATTAAGAATAGCATACCTCTGGTCTTTTCCCCTGTAAATATTCACAGAAGAGTACCAACTGATCCACTTCATATTCTAAAATGAACTGTTGTTCATCTAGTTTCA